CCGTTGACCCGGGTTATAACCCGGGTCAATACCTGACCCGCCCGGGTCGGTATTTTCTGACCCGGGTAAGACCTCTAAGTAGATTAGTCATGTGATTACTATATTGTAATTTTTTTCAAAAATTACTCTATACAAAATAGCAAGAGTAAATTTGTCTCGTTAAAATTTCTTATAATTAACAAGATAAGTTAAGATTTTATTGATAAGTTTATATATCTCGAATACAAGTGAGGATTTGCCAATTTTTTTTAAAGCAAGAAATTATGTGATAGTGATTTTCTACAAAACTTACGATTTTGATACTCTTGCGTCTTCTTTTTTTGATACTAAATGTACTCTAAAATTTTTCTACCTTTTGATATAGACCATTGCTCATATTGCGTGCAAAATCCAATGGTAGAACAATAAACCATTTTTACAAATATTCTTTCAAAAATATTATTTAGTGTAATATTCAACTTTTCTAAATTTTTCTATATTATCTAAATCTTTCCACATCGCTTCATGTGTAATTTAAAATGTTTAGAAGATATTTAGAAATGTTGCTTATTGTCACTAGCAAATTTAAGTTTTTTAAAATATTTGCGTAATAAATATTAAAAAAACTTACAATTGATAACGATAATATTTTCTTTAAAGAACTAACGGCCATATAATGCCCATTTTTTAATTCATGTGATGAGCTTCTTATATATATATATATATTCAAAATTAAAAGCCAGGTTTTCGGTGTCTATTTTTAAACTTTGCTACAAAACCAAGAAATTACTTTTGTATAGGCCTTAAATTAAATCTTGATTTTATTTTAATTTATTTATCATAAATTTTACATAAACATATCTTAAAACTTTTAATCATAAAAAATTTTTACAAATAGAATCGCTATATATATAATTTAACAATAAACTACGCTTTTAAAGGTTAAATATTAAATATATATATACGTATAACATAATAAATCCTAGAAATGTAACCAAAATACATAAACCCTAGAAATGTAACCGACATACATAAATCCTATATATATAGATATTTTATAATCATATATAAACGTAAGTTTAGTCTTATTATTTTTGCCTTATTTATCTTTTGGCATAATTACTATAGCTATAGTTAATTGTTTTTTTGAGCATAAATTTCTTTTACGTACGTAAGAGAATTTTAAACATAGTCATGATACCTAACATCAATTTTTATCGATGTTTTTTCTATATCACGGATTTTCTCAACCATTGGCTGGCTTTATCAATTCCAGCTTCGTTTATAAAGAATTTCTTATTCCATAAAGTAATAAATTTTAAAGACTTCATAGAATATCTAACCAAAATTCTAAGATGTTCATCATTAATAAAATCACAAATTCTTATAACAAGTTTTTTCAAAGGAACCGTCTTTTCTCGTTTATCTTTAACAGGTACACAGCAATTATTTAAAAATTGTTTTAAGCTATCAGGTCCAAATCTCCATCCAGCAGAAATATTTAATTCTATTAAAGTACTAGGTAAAAATTTTCCAATCTCTGGTAAAATATCGTTAACGTCAAAAGATCTTCCATTACCATAAATATATAAAATCTTTAATTTTTTACAATTATTTAAAACTCCAAATAATTCAACAATTTCATTTGGACCGATCATAACACCAAGTCGTACAAGATTAGGACAATTCAACGAGATAGAATTTAATAAATGAGCATAACCATTTTGATTACAATCCTCAGGCCAACCAAAAAAGATTTCTTCAAGATTTTGCTGGCTAGCTAAAATTATTGATTCTAAAGTTTCAGCAGGCACAGGATCTTCTTTAAAAGTTATGGATCTAAGGTTAGTAAGGGGTGCTAATCTAAGTGAGTCCAAAACATTAGGAACCAAATTTTCAGAATCAATAAATTCTAAAATTTCTAAATTTTGACAATTTGGTAACCAATCTAATGGACATGAATTATCAAACACTACTTCACGAAATTTTAAGTGACGTAAAGTATTTTTTTGACGTGTAAGTGCGATGCCTAAAGCTTGAGGATAATGACATTCGCGTAAGAAAAGTTGTTTTAATTCGAATTGAGATTCTATAAAACGAGCGGAGAGAGCAGCACTTGAATCATAATGATCGTCGTCCTCTCTATATTCGAAATCAGGTAATCTGACCTCCATCTATGGAGCATTCACGTTGAAATGAGAAGTAATAAAAAAAAAAAAAAATTATTAAACCAATTATTGATTGATTTTAAGTAGTAGTAGTAGTAGAAATGAATAATACAATTTATAGTAATAAACACCTTTTTAAGATGTCGACAAATTTGCATCAACGTTGGGAAATCTTGATCACAAGCAAAATCACCAGCAAATTCGATTTCCTTAACCATTCCCACCCATCGACGAACATTTTGTTCGCGTAAAATTGAAATATGACAATTTAATTTAAAATCAAAATAATTTAATCCATTCTTTATATCAACATCCATATCCATAACGAATGAAATGGATTCAAGATTCGGTGAATATTTAGCAAATAATCGAAATAATGCGTGTATAATTTTTTGCATTAAAGGATTATTATCGGAAGTATTTAGATTATTAATAACACACCATTCTTGGACTGAAGCAGCTAAAGGGAAATAAGCAAGATGTCTCAAGAATGAGGAATAACTAAAAGTTGGTGGCGAATAACTTTTGGATGTTATGAAAGAATAAGAAGAGAGAGTGGAAGGTGGCGGAAAAGCAAGTAAATCAAGACTATGTCTTTCATCTGGACTTAAACAGGATAAATAAGTTGAAATGAGGTGATGAGAAGAATCAAGATTTTTGTTAGGTAAAAGATGGAAAGGTTTGTTCCATAATAATTGCATAGCATTCGCGCACCAAGCGCGGTTAACTAAAATACATGAATGTAAATAATCAGGTTCATTCTCAAAATGTTTAAAAATTTCATGAAGAATCTCAGAAGGAGGAGGTCGTAACATCAAACAAAATAATCTTGATAATTATTTTTCAAGAATATCTTTTCTCGCGAGACAAGGGACAAGACGACGATTTAGCACCTCTTTAAATTTTCATAAATACTGACAATCATGGACAAACAACATGTGTTATAATACTACATTGGGCTACGATTACAAAACCATGTGGACATACACCAAGCATTACATTGTAAATACATACGATACGTACGGACATTCGCACTTAATATCGGTATAAAAGAGCCATTTTGGTTAACAAATCAATGTGATAAAAACGGATATAGTCTGGTGATACATTCAAGACAAATCTAGCATCATCTTAATGAACCTAAAAAAAAACCATGGGGCAATGTTGTGTGATAGAACTACATCAGATCCCTGGATTTTTATAGATTTATAGCTAGATTTGAATTGATTTGGAAACTTCAGCCATTAAAAAAAAATTTATCTCAAGAGATGACTGTTGAAGTCGGCGTTGATAATTTTGAAATGCATTGATAATTGGATCAATTAAATATGCTGTGTACATGCAATGAAAAGAAAAGATTGGAGAAAATTTTTTCTTTCCATGTTGTATTCGATTGCGATTGTGTATAAATGCCATGGTATCTCACTCAGCCTAGATAAATCGACTTTTACCGTTTCATTAATCGGTAACGGTTGATTACTGTTACGGTGGATAATTCAAGAACAAAAAGTAAAGATTCGGGAATCACTATTTACGATATCATTTTCGTGGACTTCCGACTTCCAAGATTTGGCTTCATTGAACACTTTAGAAGAAAGGATCCTTTATGAGAAGGTTCGTGAAAATAAAATTTTGCGGCTTTTTTTTTTTTTTGTTTTATTATTATTATTATTCACTTACACTTTTTTCATCTGTCCTTTTAGAGGTTATGAGCTTCAATTAATGTACTATTACCACATACTCACCAATGGATGGTAAGAGTGAAGGATTGGATGGTAGAATATCAGATAAAAAAAAAGAATTTTTCATAATCGTCGTAAAAGCTTCCCGGTATTATTCAAATATTGTCGGAAATCGCCGGTTATCTTATACTACGAAGTTTGTGGTAACGTGATAACTACTTCATGGATTCGGTTCGTGTCTGCAAAGATCGTTATGATGCGCGAAAGTTTATCTTATCGTTGATCAAATAATTATGAACTCCCAAGAAAGGAAATCAGTCACGATTTATTACGTCTCTGTCAAAATTGTCAATCTTTTCTATGCACTCGTATAAAACCAGTCTTATACTTGTTTAATTCTTGCTTAAAAAAGTGAGCTTAAACTTTAAAGATGCTGCCATTGTTCTTCTCCTGAATCCGTTGTTATGATACTTTATCAATGATATGTATGTAAGTTACACTTATTGTTCATAGTCATTTTATTTTTTTTTTTTTTTTTTTTTTTTTTTTTTTTTAAGTCGGTAGTTTTTTTCTTTTGTTTTTTAATATTACAGGTAAAAAAAAAAAAAAAAAAAAAAAAAAAATATAATGACTCTAGGCTCTCGATACATTGTAGCAAAAAGCGTTAAGCAAATAACATCAATATTAAGCATTAATAAGCATAATCTAGATCTTCATGATAATTATAATACGTAGTAGTTTGTGCAATAAATACGTAAATAACATATGATTTAATATTTAGGTTAAGGCGTTTATAAGACAAATCGGTGCGTAAAATCTGAACTTAAAATTATGGATTAGTACGTCGTTATGCCTGCACGTACGTAACACATTTATAATGGCAACGGTTTTAAATTGATATCACAAGTTCCCGTTTTTTCTGATACGTTAAATACTTAAATAATCGATGTTGCATTATCGTATTATCCTGTATATTTGAATCTTTTTTTCTAAAGAAACTTTCTTCGTTATGAAACCACTGTAATTGGAATACCCATCATGTCCACACATATTATTAACATCCGGAATTCTCCGTCAAAGTTTTAATATATGAGATGATTATTGAGTAAAAAAGGTTTTTATTTTAATGAAGAATTCGGAACTAAAAAAAAATTATGGCTTTTTAACGTATTGATAAACAATCGATAAACAATTCGCAGAATATAGCATCTTCAGCAAAAAAAATTGAAACAAGATGACAGAATAGCAGAATCAGAGAAATGAACTTTTTTTTAACAGTTTTTTTTTCAAAAGGGATTGCTTTGCGAGAACTAGAATCTACATTATTGAAGTGACGCTTATACACCTAAACTGACTGACTGACTGACCATGCGTAGACATTTTGTAATATCAAATATGGAAGAGTATTAACGTTTTATGGATAATTCATTCTAGAGATGGAACCTTTTATCTGAACGGCCAATAATCATTATTATTTACTTAATTATCCCGTTTATTCGATTATCTGTCAGAGAATATTGGATATATTTCTAAATCACTCTTTGTTATGAAATTTGTTCTTTCTATGGGATATCTACAAACTTTTGATGCTTTGTCATTATCTGAGATGATAAAGTACCGGAGGTTTGAATCATTTGAGGTCTAATTCATTCTGTTCGACTAGTTTATGATAGTACACTTCGAAATTGGCATGCAATTCGCATTAGTTTCAAGATAGGTAACTATTCCCTTGAGACTCATAAATTTTGGGGGCCATTGATGAGTTCTATCGAGCAAAAGATGTCAGGTATTTCATCTTTATCGTTATATTGTTCGTCCTCATGCTCTATTCATGCAACGTCTGTTGACAGTATCCAATCAAACTTCTGATTAGGTGACGCGACATATTTCCACACATTTGCTTCGTACAAATCATGCAATGGTTCTCTCTTCGATCTAAAAAAGCGCCAAGATTATGATTTCTTATTGATGTATTGTAAGAAATTTTCATGAAAGCACTAGCATGTTTTTTGGCCAATTGAATATATTAAAGCGTAATAAATGTATGCAATTTTTTTCGCTACTAACTTAATTCATGCACATGCGTTTGAGTTGCCTAAACTATAATTTTGACGAATTAGTGAAAGATGATCTATCGTGGTGAGATCGTAATTTGTCAAATCCAATGTTTTGAATAATTTCACTTAGCAGAAACTCAAATTTTGCTTCTGTAAATTCAAGCATATTCGGGTAATCGGTACAGAAGTTTTCTTGGCGGTACAATTACGGCATAAGATATGACATACCTACCTTAGGGAAGTGTAATTATCATCTGATTTTTTTAGCAGGGGAGTGGATGCCAAAACATCATGCTAATAGATCACATGTACATATGTTTATATATAATCGTAATCATTTAAGGGAAAATTTTACTATTTACAAAAAATCAGCTGATAAATGACACTTCCCTTAGTGCGCTGACTAAAATACCCTTTTTCAATCCTCTAGTGCAAAATGCCCTGATGCAAAACACAGCATCACTTTTAATTAAACATGGTTTCTTTTGAATTTCTAGACCGCTTATTATAAATGCGAAATATATATGTACATGAAATACTGCATAATATACCCGGGTTTTTTGTAAGCTTTTTGTTGGGTATTTTGTACTAGACCACAGGTCTTTAGTCAGTGCACTACGGTAATTAATTAACTAATTACAAAAATGTATGCCGTAATACTATAATGTTATATAATGCTGCAATGCTATCACGTTAATTCATTAATCTTTCATAAATGCAAATTCGTATCTATAGCGGCCATTTTATTGTGAGTTCTATAAGTTTGGGGTTGGAACTTAGCACGCATTTGTAGAAAGCATGCATCGTGTGTGCATTTATACGTATAAGGCACATTTATGAATGATTTTCTGTATACGTGTTATCAAAAACCCGAAATCTTTCAAAAATACATAATAATGCATATTTTAGTATTTATTGAGCTCGACTAATTCGATAGATGATATTATATAAGCATTTGTATTTTTTATTGAGTGAGCAGTTTAAAATGTTATTACACCTAAACTAACTAACGCTGTAGTAGCCTAGGTTTATTGATTCGACTCAGTCGATGTTTAAAAACTGCCTAAGTAGATTATGCCAATTCGACCGTTTGTGATATATAAAAATATGTAACCTGGATTTCCCCAATATCCATGTCATTCTCGACTATTTCTATATACAGTTCCAATCAACTCGGTTTAGTTGATTTTTTAAAAACTCGACCAACTTAGTTGACTAAATCGATTTTTTGATTAGATTTTTGAGAACCGGTTTCATTTTTCATGTGTTAAACAGATTAAAACCGGTTTAACATATGAAATATAAAATCGGGTTCAAACTCTATTTATGACTAACACTAACGCAAATTGACTACGTAAAACCAATAAACTTTAATAATAGCAGATTACTCACAAGTATAAATGACAGTGAAATTACTCTTCTTAATAAAAAGTTTGTCAAAATTGTTAAAATTATTTGATGCCAAAATTGGTAAAGTTAGTTTTTAATATTAAAAATTAATTTAAATTATATCAAAAATGAATTTATATTAAAATTTATAAAATATTAAAAATGTTGAAATTATTGTTGAAATTAAAAAAAAATTAAAAATTAATTTTACTACTATCTATATCTGTAGGTGGGTGAGTGACTTAGATTGAAATATTGCAAAGACAGATAATTAATTTATAAATTATTTATAAACTAACTACAGATCAAAGAGATTTCTATATTTTTTGCCCAAAAAAAGAGGGTAGCTTATTTTGAAAAAAATATAGTAATCTTTACTTTTAAATATGGGTTTATTTTTTATTGCTCCTGCAATGTATTGCACCCCTACTACAGTATATCTTAAAATTTTACTAGAGTAACCTGTTGTGTAACTAACAAAAATGATTTTACCTAACTTTAACCTAACCCTAACCTGAACATTAACACTAACTCTAACACTAACTCTAATTATTATAGGGGTGCATCTTAACTCTAATTATTATAGGGGTGCAATGTATTGCAACATACAATGAATTATAAAATCCTAAAAAATTTTAAATTTTATAAAATTTTTTAAAAATTTTTTTTGAAATTCCTCCCGGCTAT